TGCAGTGATACAAGCAATTAGGCAGTTGAGATTTTGTATATCAGATATAGGCATATATAAAACTTTATATAAAGAGCTAGGCGATAATATTACGTTTTACGACTAAATTAAAAATCAAGCAGCTCGTATTTGCTATAAGGTAGACTATACATATCACATTACTCGAGTGTACTGTATGTGAATAAAGATAAAATACATATATAGTCTATTTATGTAATTTTCTATTTTTTAACTCTTTTAAACTAATTTTAAATCAATTTCTTTACTTGAGTATATGTGTACACATGTAAAGTAGGATATAAATGTTATTATATCAATGGACGATTATATTTTAAATTTTTCATGACATATTACAGGTATTTTCTCATGGTTTGTGTGTCTGAATCACACTAACTGCACTGAAAGCTACCACAAAACCACTTGATTTCATGCCGTTTCATGTAATTATATCTGAATCATAGTTATAGTGAGAGTATGAGGTAGATGACTGACTGAATCAGAGATTCCAATAAAATTCAAAGCTCATGTTCAGACGTGATCACCTGACACAGACGAACACTTTCTGACTGGTTGAACATGTGGAACTTGTCATGTAATCATTGTTGAAGCTCTTTTTGACGTGTAGTTTGCCAATCAACTGTTTAAGCCGCTCATAATTAAAAGTAATTACAACATTTTAACTTAGTACAAAACAGACTTCAAATTAGGGACAGTGTGAACATTGATGACTCAGATGAATTCGTTATTTGAATCAATTTATTGAAATGACTCGTACTATTTCTACCATATAGGCTAAAGCTAGGCCTACTAAAGTCACAGATCTCAATATGAACTCCAACATTTCTCATTATTTTTTTTAGCTCTATAGTCTTACTGTATGATAACTATTGATTAAAGGGGTGGTTCATTGCGATTTCACTTTTTTAACATTAGTTAGTGTGTAATGTTGCTGTTTGAGCATAAACAATATCTGCAAAGTTACGAAGCTGAAAGTTCAATGCAAACGGAGATATCGTCTTTTAAAATTCTGGCAGTTTAATGCCTACAAAAACGGCTGGTTGGGACTACAACAAGTTACTTCCCGGGTTCGTGACATCACAAACCCAGATAAACCCCGCCCTCCGGAAAAGGCAGCGAAGGGAAAACATAGGCCTACCATTAAAAGCCGTGCTTGCACAGGTTCTGCACGATCCTCTTCAATAATATCCTCTGCTTCTCAATCGGGCTCAAACTGATAAGCAATATTAATGATGCCGTTGTTTACAATACAACCAGTGTTTAGACGATTAACACATGTTAGACTGCACCTCATAAACACAATCAAGCCTAGAAAAAACCCAGTGAACCACCCTTTAATTTGTGTCCGTGAAAAACATGCTCTTTTCTATGTCTTTTAAGCAGTGAAATGGTAACGTTCCTCCGGCTGCAGAAGCTCTGATGACGTCAGATCCTATTCAGCCATCTATTAATGGCAAAACAGCAGTTAAATGTGTCTGAAAGGAGTCATAAAGCGTCATTCTTCTGCAGAACAAAGCTCTGATTATGTGTTTGGATCGGACAGACAGAAGCTGCTGGACGCCCTTTGTCGCATTCCTCCCTCGCAGAACCACTGGACGTCTCTTGATCTTCTGCATGCTTCTGGTCGAGTGTTCAGTGTTGTGCTGGTGGCACAGAGAGACGATTGAGCACAAGACAGATGAATGAACAGAAGAAGCATGATGAGACACTATAATACTGTCAAACACCGAGGTGAACATCTTGAACACATCAGCAACATAATAGACCTTAAGTCAGGGTGGCACCATATTGAATTTTTGTCAGGAATGAAAATGAGGCTGTGATAGAGGTACAGTGTACTGCTGTTTAACAACATGCCAATTGTTCAGCTGATGAAAAACCTTTACAAAAACTTTCAAGATAGCAAAAACTATGTAAAACAGTTTTGAAAGTTGTCACAACTTTGTTTTCATCCATGTAAAATTCAATATGGCATCTACAGAAGACTTTCTACAGTAGGTACAGTTAATATATGATTTGTTTATTTATTTTATTGAGAACCAAGCATTTTGTGCAAACAAAAATACATAAGCCGACATCACAGGGGTATATAGAAAGAAAAAAGGCAGTAAATAAGTAAATAAAACATTGTACATGTTAAACAATTGCATAGTTTGTATTGCTTTCAAGTTCTTACTATTAGATATTTGGATCATTCCGTATCAGAAATGGGGAAATTTCAGAAACTTACCCGGCTCAAATTTTTGATTTTGTCAATATATTTTTCTGAAGAAAGGTAAACATGTATAGTGACGAAAGTCAAAATATTAAATGTCATCGATGTATATTTACTGAGTAATCAACTATTTTGTAGAGGGGGGTCAAGATGACACTTTTCACCTGAGATTCAGAGCCAGATTAGAGGGGGGTAAAATGGCATTAGAAAGATTGCAGCATCATTATATTATTTTTAAACAGAGATTGGTAGGTCTGTTAGTAAAATCTATCAATCTTTGTTGCATTATACGCCAGTGGTGAACATTCAAAAATGGGAAAAATCACTTTTCAAGTTTTTTCTCCAATGTTTGCATACCTGTAACTCAAGAAGTTTTAAATATATCATAATGCTCTTTTAGATTTTGGGTCTAAATAAACTTGCCTTTTGGCATCTTCATTTTTACGGCTCTATTATGGTTCCATTCCAGCTATTGTAACGTGGGGAGGCGTGACAATGCAATAGTGGATCCAAGTGCATGCTTTATTCAAAGAGTGGTCAAAACAGGCAGGGTCAAACAGCAGCAAACAGGTTTAATCTAGAATGAGACAAAAGAGTAATCCAATAAACAGGCGAAGGTCAGGGCAGGCAGCAGAAACAAGGTACAACGTCCAGGGGGATATATATATATATATATATATATACTGTATATATACTGTATATATATATATATATATATATATATATA